CCCGGCCGCCCCCAATCTGCAGAGCAGGAGCAGCCCCCGGGGGAGCCGGGGGAGGCGGCGGTGGCAGGTCCCTCTGCCCAGGGCTGCAGCCGCAGCCCCTGCGCTCCCAGCCGGGGCAGGGACCACTCACCCGGGGGGGCCCGGCGCCCCCCAAAGAGGAGGGCTTCCAGCCCCCAGGACTCTCCACCACCCTGCAAGAGGGTGCCCCGCCGGCTAGAGCCCAGCACTAGCAGGGCTCCAGCAACCCTTCGTTCAAGAAGAAGGAAATAAATTCCTCTTTCTCTGACACAGGCTCTGGGTGCTGCTTTCTACCCCTTCTCCTGGTGTCTTTCCCTGCCCCCCGCGCCACACCGTCGGCCAAGGGTCCCCGGAGCCCCAGGGCCATCTTGGCAGCACCTCCTCCTGCAGGAAAGCCTGCTGCAGCCACGACAATGGAAGAGGTTCTGAAAAAGCACCAGGGTGATGCTCGTGGAGGAGTAATGAGTGAAAGGTTGACCAAGTGTTCCTCAGGCAGGAAGGGGAAAACTCTGATAACGCCTAACACAATTTCTGCATAACGCATTGGTGAAAAATGTACAGTTTGCTGATGCAGAATCAGAGGAAACGTACAACCTGAAGACCAACTAGAGTTCATTTAATCGGGGAGGGAGTGGGGGGAAAGACCTATGCATTAATGTAAAAATGAGTATTATAAAAGGAGGGCAGGAAGAAAGGGAAAGGTACAGCAAATTAGGGATAGGAAAAGGAGGTAATACCAGAAGCACTGTTCATATGACCACTAATTATACAGATGGATCTTGCAGGTATGTTTAAAATGAATGAACAAACAACAATCAAAACAAAACCAACCAACCGACCAACCAAATAAAACCCCAAAACCCAGAAAAAAAAAAAAGAAAAAACCCAAAACCCAAAACCCAAAACCCAAAACCCAAAACCCAAAAACAAACAAACAAAAAAACCCCAAACAAATTAAAATAGAAAAAAAAAAATAACCACAACACCCAAAAAAACAATACAGGTAGGGAAGTAAGCATTTTTATTTTAAACTACTTTGTTCTAATATGAAAAACTGATGATACAGCAGCCAGAAAACTATTTTTACAATCTACTTCTCAGGGCAATTTTAGGCATTAAAGAAGCATTAAAAACCCAAGTGGAAAACTGAGAAGATTTGAGGGAAATTTTGTTGCTAGACTGCAATTTTGGTATTATCCTTTCCTTTATATTATTGGGGATGATTAGGCGCAAGAAAATTGACCTACTGGAACAATTTAGTATTCAGTGTATGTTCATATCTTGTTTCTGCAGAGGATTAGCTCGTTTCTGAGGGGAAGCACAAGAACCCTCATGTCAATAATTACCAAATCATCTGCCCACAGATTTTTTTCCCAGCTCTTCCACCCTCTCCTACCTTCACCGTGCTCAGAGATACATCATGAAATTTACAGCATTTTCAAAGTTTCCCAAGTTTAATGTAACCAAAAAATCCAATGGCTTCTAGATTTTCAGTTTCAGTTTGAATTAGATTTAGTTCTTGTCTTTGCTAATACCTTGCAACAATGAGTGCTAGTGGTTTAAAAAGCATTAAGCCCATTTCCATGCATGTAAATCTTACATATTCTGCCTTGCTTGAACGGTCCCTTTCTCTGGTGTTGAGCAAGGCAGGAGACAACTAGTCCTTTGCCCTCCCTGAGCTGCTGCCAGACATGGAGGTACGGGTGATGGGACATGTGTAGCTCTGTCTGTGCGGCCCAAGCTCTGGCTGCCTCGAAGCCTAGGTTGCCCATTGGTAGCTGACGTTGTCTGCTTGATGTTGGCCATGCACTATCACCAGAAACACCGATGGGGTACAGAGTGGCAACCTGGTGCCCAGGCGAAGGACAGGGTGGGCCCATGCTGCCTCTCCCAATACACCTTTGGATTCAGCAAATCTCTGGCTCTCAGCCACGGAGAGAGAGTGGGTGAGGCAATGAGTGTATTCACTCCGGCTTAGAGCGGGCAGTACCTGTGTGCTCAACGTGAACCTGGCTCACCCGGTGGCCAACCAACATTTACATCTCCCGACTCAGAATCTGCTTTGTCTTTCTGACCTCTTTCATGAAAACATCATCTTTTCTGCTTAGAGGTTCCCCCTTTTCATTTAACAGATGCATTGTTTTATATCTATGATCTGTATATATTAATTTTTGCATTGGCTGATTTTGATGTAGATAGTTAAAATTTATTGTGTACAACATCTCTGCACATAAGAAGACATCTGTCTGTTTTGCAAATGAGCCTAAAATGTTTTGGGAATGTTATGGAAGACAATCGAAGTACAGCAAAACACCCTGGTTCATGAAGCACCAAAACATAATCCTGGGGAAATCAAGATTTGAGGTGAAAAATAGTCTTTTTTTTTTGGAAAAAAAAGATAAATCATCACCCACGAAATGCTACAAGGTGATTCAAATTAACCATTCCTTTGCACAGGTTTCCTGACGGAGCATTAAAAAAAAAAATGTAGCACATACTTTGTTCCACATATTTCTTCCTACAAGTGGAAAGTTCCAAGTGACTCATACCTGCATTTCCCACAGAATTACTTAATCAAGCATGTACTTGTAAAGCTATACATTCATGCTTTAAGATCAAGAGCTAATGGCTTCAGTCCAACGTGTCAGTATTCTGGATAGGGATATCCCCTTACATGGATAGTCTTGGGAGGAAATGGAAGAAATTGACATGAATCAAGGTTTATGGAATATATGTATAGAAGACAATGACAGGGTGAAAGGGAAGGAGGGTTTAGTAATCATGTTCGGGAGAGAAGCAGGACAGGAAGATATCTGGAAAGAAACAACAGCTCATACTATGTAGTGCAGTCTTTCTAACAGTGAGGTGGAGGACTCAGTTAAACTGAACGGATGCTGGGAATTTCTGACAGCTCTGCTAAGGCTTCCTGAGTCCTCAGAGTGGTCCCACTCTGTGGAGCTCTTGCTGTCCTCTGCCCTCACTGGATTTTTAAGGAATCAGCCAGCAGGATTAGACCTTAATGTGGGATTTGATGACTATAGTTTCATCTATTGCATTTCTTACTAGCCTAGGAAACCATTTTTTTCCATATCATAAGTACCTACTTATTACCAGACTTTAAATTATAATGGCATATACTTTGCTTCTCATGTTATAAGTGGGTAAGCACTGGAGTAAAACAAATTAGCTGAAGAATGAAGCTGTATTTTTCAGCAAGTGTAATTTGGATCAGCTCCACTGACCTCAGTGGCCATGTGTTAGTGGTGAATGTGGCACAAAGAAGTGTATCTCCCTTCACACTCTCTGATTAGGTACATTTGGTCCTTAAATTCCATGAAGTCTGTAATAAAAAAATTCTCAAGATGCTGGGTTAGGATAACAGCCCCAAAAGTGATACAGAAAATGGTGCAGGGACTTTTGAGTTCATCCTAGTGAGTTCTGTTGCAGGAGTTTATGCATTCATTTTCACTTTTAAAGAACACAAACACCTTTCACCAATTCATGTAGGAAAACTAAATGCCCCACGGATAATCTCTAAATCACTAGGACTTTGACTAGATTAGAAGTATCCTATTTTAACCTAAATGAATGACTTTGTTATGTGATTGCCAGTTAATTTATCAAGGGTTAAAAATGCTCACCCTTCAGCCTAAAATTAACTGTAAGAAAAAAAGGGAAAGTATTTCAACTCTAATCAAAGTGCTTTAATGTAAAAGAGATGCTAGAGTGCAGAAAGACTCTAGGTGGTGATTTCATGTGGTCCCAATATAGGTGTGGATCCCCCTTTTATTGTTATTATCCCTGCCCCAGGTACAACAGTATCCCTCCCACTCCTTCATATCAGCTCATCCTGTTGTAGTACATCCATCACTCTAAAAGCTGGCAGGATACACAACTTTCTGTACATCAATTAAGCACAAAGTAAATCAGGTCTGCAAGCACAGTTTTCACGAGAGGTGGTAGAGTAAAACTGTACAAAAAGAAACTCTCCTGAGCATTCCCCTGTGACAGGAGAGGAAATTCACTTTCAGCTCACCTGAATCGTTGCATCTGAAACTCCCCCCCACCCAGTCTCAATGCGTTCTCCTGAAACTTCTCCCAGAAATGCCACATAAGTATGATGAGAGATAAAGAAGCAATTGGCTAAATATTTGTTTTGTTCTTTTTAGCTGATTGAAACTGGCTTATAAAAAAATTTCCACTAATAGTCTTGGCCATACTGAAAAGAATTGCGATTACACCCCCTCTACACCATGGACTTGCTGAGTTAACATCCACAGTTTTCCCTTTCACAATCCATCCTTGATTACTGACGTTCTAGTATTCTTTATTGACTTTGCTCTGAAAATGCTGATCTCTGGAAGAGGACAGAGGAGATAGCTGGAGGAAGAAACCTCTTAAACTGCTACTGCAAATCTGTTAGAAATCATCTCTTAGAGTCCTTAAGGCTTCAACACTGTGGTGAGAACTGACTCTGTGACTCAACGTAACCTGAAAGAAAGGACTGCTTTTTCTCCCCCAGAAGGTTTGGCCTCCTGTTAATATGCAGAAATGTCTTATTTTAAATCCACTCCAGCAACCATCTACCTATACAAACCTGGCCTTGGTGTCCTAACAGCAAGCAATTCTGGACTGACCTGTTGTGCTATTTCAGTCAACTTTAACTCTTGCTCTCAAAAAATTGTTACTCTTCAGTTCTGAGGTAAGCATTCGTGAACACATCAACCACCAGACCATGAATAAATTCAATCAGTACTGAAGTGCCATTCTAACATACATGTGAGTGCAATTCATCCTTTGCACAGGTGATCAAGCCAGGCAATTAGCTTAACAAAGACATCACAGGAAACCAATGAAGAGCGTGATACCAGCTGGATCTAAACATATCAGGGACTAATTGGGCCCAGCATGCTAAATAACTCCATTGACTTAACAGTGTGACATCAGAGATGAACTTGGTTCATGGCCAAGAAAAGAGAAGGGCAGAAAGAAGGAAATGGAAGAGATGTTCAGAAGTCATCAGAATAATTCAGTACATCATACAGGAACATTTTCTCTGGCAAACAAAAAAGATCCCAATATTTTGAAGTACAATTCCACGAGCATCTAGATACATTGCATATGACAGTTTACAGGTCATATATAGAAGAACACTTTCAAAAGCAAATATGAAACCAATGATCAAGTTTAAAATGGGAAAAAGAGTTGTATTAAATAGCAGCCAATAAGTCTATTAGAATTTTTGCAATTACTTTAATGCCATGTCCTACTCCATTTCCTAGCCCATTATTTCCTACAATACAAAATTTTCACAGACGTCTTTAGAAAATCTTTGTTTGCCCAAAATTTCTTTTTTCATAGAAATCTGCAATGATTCATTGATTAACCATTGCTTTCTCTTTTTTTTATACAGAGATGCCATTTATAAGATTAAAGATTATAGATTCTAGGTGCTCCTTGCATTTTTATTGAATATAGAGCTACCACAAGGTGCCAGGACAAAGAAGTTTCTTGTCACCTGGGTCACTGCATGCAGAAAAAGAGATACGGCAAAGGCAACTACCTCTGGCAAGACTTCATTCTTTTCTGTGTACAGCAACAAGGTTTAAAATTCTTGAACTGAAAGGCACACAGCAAAGATGGTGAGATGTTACATTTTTATCTTTGTCAGATTCTCCCATCTTTCACATGGATGTACAACAGCAACGACATTCCTTATTTCTAAGTGATTAACAGACTGCAGTGTTTGTTCTATTTAGGACCAACACATATGTTACTCATAGGCAAAATCCCTAGCAAATGTAAGCAAAGTTTAGGGAGTTACACCACAGAAAATCTATTTCACTTTTACCAGTGAAATACGGTAAAAAGCAAGCATTGATGCACACCAGTGTGCATGCCTTCAACTATGTGAAGGCATTCATTTTCTTAAGAAAGTGACTTAAACAGATTTTTTAAATTCAGATTTGCTTGAATTCCAAACTAATTTTTTTTTTTTTTTTTTTCAAAAACAGAAAGACTCAAGTGAAAAAGAAACCTGTTTTGGCATATTTTTAATACAAGTAAAAGACTAGGTTTATGAAATTAGAGAAGGATGGAATAATTCTGCAACACTGAAGTTAAGCACTAATATGGAAAGCAAAGAAACAAAATCCTCTGACTTGCTATGAAAGCAAAGAACTTTCCTTGCAATAGTTTTCCAACCTCCTAGAAGAGTAACCTTATAAACATAACCTACAGTAGTAGGTTATGAGGAGAAACTCATTTCAGTTTCTCCTGTTGATGTGTTATATACTCAGTGGAACTGAGACTGAAAAAAATAACTCAGTAGTCAGTAGGACACTTTTATGAGGATTGAAAACTAGTTTGCAATTATACTCCTAATGTCTGATATTAGAACAATGTCTGATACGTTTGACATATCCTTGAGGAACTGCCTCGCCCTGGGATATTTAAAAAGTTTTGTTGCAGAGTTCTTCATGTACCACTTAAGGCAGTCACTAATGATGTGTGGCACCTTGGATCCAATCCCACTGAATCAGGCAAAAGAGGATTTGAACTAAGACTCCCAGATCCCAGGAGAGCATGTACCTGTTATGCTGTGACACTTCTGCCTCTGCCTTAAAGAAGGTCACTTAAGCACCTCGCTGTTCATTAGTCCAGTGATTCAGTTATTGCTCAGAATTATACAGATCAA